ATCTCTCTCCCTTTCTCTCTCTCTCTCTCTCTCCTATCTTCTCTCAATCCCTTTCTCTCTCCCTGTCTCTCCTCTCTCTCTCTCTCCTCACTCACAATCACTCACTCACATCACTCACTCACTCACTCACTCTCCACACACACCACACACACACACACACACACACACACACACACACACACACACACACACACACACACACACACACACACACACACATATATATATTCACTCTCTCTCTCACACTCAGACACTCTCACATGCACTTTCACACAAACTATACCTAAGAAGTATAGGCAATACAGGAAATATTTGATACAAGCAGTCGTCGTTTGCACCCAGAACCTTGGTTGATTTTTTTTTCTGATGTTTTCTTTCATTCATTTTATTCATTTCTAATAATTTTCGCAGCAAAAGCTCTTAGTTCCTAGACTAGTTTCAAGATTTTTGTGCTGTGAGAGAATTTCATATTTCTCGTGTGATCTTTCTAGTCACCACATGAACCAGAGAGGAGGAGGAGGTGGAGGGGGCCAGTACAGCAACGTCCCGCCGCCCATGGGAAGAGGTGGAAATGGGAAGAGGAGTCTCCTAGGGGCCCCTCCCCAGTCGTCGGGCCAGAGCCTGCTAGGGGCGCCGCCCAACCAGTATTCCAGCTATCAGGGGTATGTGTTAGTGCTTGATCATTGTTAGGGTTCATGAGTGGAGTGAGAGAGAGAGTGAAAGTGAGAGAGAGAGAGGTGAAGTAAGTAGAGAGAGAGAGAGAGTGAGAGTAAGTGAGAGATAGAGAGATGAGATAATGAGAGAGAGAGAGAGTGAGAGTAAAGTGAGAGAGAGAGTGAGAGTGAGAGTAAGAAAGAGAGAGAGAGAGTGAGAGTAAGTGAGAGAGAGAAGAGTGAGAGTAAGTGAAACAGAAGAAGTGAAGAGTAAGTGAGAGACAGAGAGAGAGAGTGAGAGTAAGTGGAGAGACAGAGAGAGAGAGTGAGGTAAGTGAGAGACAGAAGAGAGAGTGAGAGTAAGAAGAGACAGAGAGAGAGAGTGGAGAGTAAGTGAAAGACAGAGAGAGGAGAGTGAGAGTAAGTGAGAGACAGAGAGGAGAGAGTGAGAGTAAGAGAGAGAGAGAGAGTGGAGTAGTGAGAGACAGAGAGAGAGAGTGAAGTAAGTGAGAGACAGAGAGAGAGAGTGAGAGTAAGTGAGAGGACAGAAGAGAGAGAGTGAGAGTTAAGTGAGAGACAGAAGGAGGGGGGAGAGTGTGGAGTAAGTGAGAGACAGAGAGAGAAGAGTGAAGTAAGTGAGGAGACAGAGAGAGAGAGTGAGAGTAAGTGAGAGACAGAGAGAGAGATGAGAGTAAGTGAGAGACAGAGAGAGAGATGGAGAGTATGTGAGAGACAGAGAGAAGAGTGAGAGAATAAGTGAGAACAGAGAGAGAGAGTAAAGTGAGAGAGAGAGAGAGAGAGTAAGATTAATGAGAGAGAGAAGAGAGAGAGTAAGTGAGAGAGAGAAGAGAGAGTAAGAGTAAGTGAGAGAGAGAAGAGAGAGTAAGAGTAAGTGAGAGAGAGAGAGAGAGAGTAAGGAGTAATAGAGAGAGAAAGAGTAAGATTAAGTGAGAGAGAGAGAGAGTATGATTAAGGGTGAAGAGAGAGAAGAGAGTAAGATTAAGTGAGAGAGAAGAGTAAGAAGTAAGTGAGAGAGAGAGAGAGTAAGAGTAAATTGAGAGAGAGAGAGAGAGTAAGAGTAAGTGAGAGAGAGAGAGAGTAAAGAGAAATGAAGAGAGAGAGGAGAGTAAGAGTAAGTAAGTGAGAGAGAGAGAGAGAGAGGAGAGAGTCAGAGTAAGTGAGAGAGAGAGAGAGAAGAGTAAGAGTGAGAAGAAGAGAGCGTTAAGAGTATAAGTGAGAGGAAAGTGAGAGAGAGAGAGTGAGGGAATGATTGATGTTGTTTGTTTGTTAGTTTGTATTTTGATGATATTTAACATTGCTAAATACAATTTGTTGAGTTCTCTGTTTAGGGAAAATAGTAAGTTGTGATAGAAAAATTTCAGATGAATTAAAGAATTATTTTGTATAGGAACTTAAAAGTTCCATTTACAATAGAATTCAGTGCTATTTATTTCCTTCATGCAGTAATCAAAACAGGAACCAATATGGTGGAGGCCAGGGTGGTTATGGAGGATACAACAGCAATAGAAACTATGGAGGCTACAATAGCAATCAGAGGTAAGACTTGCAGATGTATTAAAGATATCCTTGTTATTCAAAAAAAAAAAATAAATAAATAAAATACTGGAATTGTGGTACAGTTCCAGGAGTTTTGTGAAGATGTGTTACTGATACCGATTCATTATTGTGATTATAGGCAAAACTACAACTCAGGAGGAAACAACAACAACCAGGGTTACTTCACGAGTGGCGGCGGGAACTACAACTCCCGAGGAGGAGGAGGAGGAGGTGGCGGCTACAACTCAGGAGGCAACAGAAGTGGGGGAGGAGGAGGTGGGGGCTATGGTGGCAACTACCACAGGGGCCGCGGAAGGGGAGGCTATTACAGAGGGAACGGTAACAACTACTGATGCCAGGGTGGGAGGTTAGTTAAAGGGGGGTAAGGACGGCCTCGGAGGAAAAGCAGAACACTTTTTCTTCTTCCTCGATTTGTACTATACTCTTTTATGCGAGAGGTTTGGTTGACACTGGTCTTACGGTACTTGATCGTAGACTGAATTAAAAAAAAAGAAACGTAATAAGTACTAAGGCGAATATATATATATTATATATATATTTTTATTGATGTTTAGATAAAAAAGAAGAAACGCTACTTCTATTGCAATGCATATGAGAGCATTTTGATAGAGTCTAGGTACATTTTCTCGAATGTAATGTTTTATGCTGAGAGGTTATATTGCGTGCAAAAGAGTATATTTCATCACCCTGTAGCAGTTCATAATACAGTTGAAGTTTTTCTGGTTTTCTGCTACTCTTGTTGTATTTGATTTGTCTTATTTATTTATTTTTGTAACCGTTTGTATTGGACACTGAACATGTACATATAACCTCTTAAGAGAATTGTTTGTATTAGTATACCATGATGAATCCATCATTTCATTATAATCTTTGTCTATTTGTCATTTGTAAAAATAGAACTATAACTTGGTTAGCACAATATTTTGTAAATTATACTTAAATATTATTGTCTGAAAAAAAAATAAATAGTACTACAGGTATTTAGTGTTTTTAAATATCCATAAGGTACTGTAGATTTTCAAAGTTTATAGCAGTGCACATGCACGGGCACACACACATTATATGTGTGTATACATGCAGTATACGTACATAATATATATTGCTTGTTTTGAAAAAAGAATATATATAAATTTTTCTATATATAAATATATTTTCATATATATATGTATTTATTTATACATGTATACATACAGTATACGTACATAATATATATTGCTTGTTTTGAAAAAAGAATATATATAAATTTTTCTATATATAAATATATTTTCATATATATATGTATTTATTTATTTATATACAAAAAAATATATTCATATATAAAAAATATATTTATATACAATATTTTTTATATAAATATTTATAAAAATATATATATATAAATATATAAAATATATATATTTTCTATATATATATATATAATATATTTTCTTTATATATATATATATATAAATGGACTCAAATCCACACTCCACACTCAATGTATCATGTACATACCAGAGCATTAAAGTAAACTACTAGATTGTGAGCATTGTCTATTTATGTATAACAAAATTATAGTGACAGTTCTTCCACTTAGTTCAAGTTTAACATGTACCAGAAAAAGCAGAACTAAATAAAACCACACAATCCACTTCATCAGAATTTATACAAACTTCATGTAGGTTATTTCCATAAAGGGAGTTCTCAGACAGAAATCCAGCTAGTGCACATACACACATGCAAATATTGTATTGAAATTATACAATATTCTTATTATAGGAGAGGAGCTCCTATGTGTCCTGCTCTCTCTCCTTTATTCTGAGAAGTAGATAAAATCTACTCTTTTTTTACTATAAATATAAAACTTGCAAAAGCTTTATTATGTATTTTATAACATAGATGTTTGCATACTCCAGTAAACATGGAACTTCAAAATAAAATATTATTCTATTCTCATAAACCATCACAAAATCACATTTCAATAAATGTTGCTTGCAACATTAAATTTCATATATATGTTTTGAGTAGATGGGTGTGTATATGTATAGGTGTGTGTGTGTGTGTAAGTGAGTGAGAGAGTGTGAGAGAGAGAGAGAGAGAGAGAGAGAGAGAGAGAGAGAGAGAGAGAGAGAGAGAGAGAGAGAGAGAGAGAGAGAGAGAGAGAGAGAGAGAGAGAGAGAGAGTGTGTGTGTGTGTAAGTGTGTGTGTGTGTAAGTGTGTAAGTGTGTAAGTGTGTAAGTGTGTAAGTGTGTAAGTGTGTAAGTGTGTGAGTGTGTAAGTGTGTGTGTGTGTCTGTAAGTGTGTAAGTGTGTGTGTGTGTGTGTGTGTGTGTGTCTGTGTGTGTGTAAGTGTGTAAGTGTGTGTGTGTAAGTGTGTAAGTGTGTAAGTGTGTGTGTGTGTGTGTGTGTGTGTGTGTGTGTGTGTGTGTGTGTGTGTGTAAGTGTGTAAGTGTGTGTGTGTGTGTGTGTGTGTGTGTGTGTGTGTGTGTGTGTGTGTGTAAGTGTGTGTGTGTGTGTGTGTGTGTGTGTGTGTGTGTGTGTGTGTGTGTGTGTGTGTGTGTAAGTGTGTAAGTGTGTGTGTAAGTGTGTAAGTGTGTGTGTGTAAGTGTGTAAGTGTGTGTGTGTAAGTGTGTAAGTGTGTGTGTGTGTGTGTGTGTAAGTGTGTAAGTGTGTGTGTGTGTGTGTGTAAGTGTGTGTGTGTGTGTAAGTGTGTAGGGTTGAGTATATATATATGTGTGTGTGTGTGTGTGTGTGACTGACTCTGTTTTACTGTAGATAAGTGGCTGTGTAT